AAATTTTCCATAATAAAAAGTCAAGTAAAGAAATGTGCATATTTCAAAAGATACTGTCAAACTAACTCAGATGAAATTGTTACTTTAGAGGAAAAATAATTTGGAGAAAAAAAATTACTCATTGACTTAGAAACAAATTTMATGGGTGGGAATCATGACAATATGCTAGTGTGGATATATGAATCTAAATCCAGCCTGTGCTGGAATTTCTACTCTTTACTTCTAGAATAAGTAAGCTGAACTTCAGAGCTCAATAAATTCTAGGTTAATCTCTATTTTATATTAAAGCCTTTGGTCACAGATGAAATAAAATAGATCATCTTATTTTTTAAAAAATTGATCTGATTGCTCCAGTGGACCACTGACCACTGACAATTAAGTAAATGTTCAGGTAGGTTGACATTGATTTATATTCGCTATTTAGTCTGAACCTTCCTTATAAACTCTCATCTATTAATAATTCTGAATGGCCTTTCAGAAGAATTGAAATAAAAATGAATGGTAATGGACCTTTCTAACAGAAAAAAAGGATGTTATAAAATATAATAGAGAATTAATTTGTAATTTAATTTTAATTGATTTACACCCCTCCCCCCCCAAGTAGCATGCCTTCAGTTCCTTTGATGCATAGGTTACAAATCCAAAATAATCCAGCCTTCTGTCATTTAGTTCTAAGCTTCTGGTATATTGTGGCAATGGGAAGATACATTCCAAGGTCATTTAATGGGTCAGGCTGTCATTCAGTCAGTGGTGCCTTGCTTTGAGAGTCCCAGAAGTCAAATGCACCCACTGGAGCCCAATGCAGCCAATCAAATAAAAATTAATGAGGAAATACAAACATCTTTCCATCTTATGCTCAATAGCTTTATTTTATTGGCATGATCTACACGGAATGCACTAATACTTTATGTATCTACTATTTTAAGCTTTCCAAAGTGCCTTAAGAATATTGAGTTGGCTTCTATTAATTTAATAAGTTAAAGTCACGTGGTCATGGCATTCTTGAGATTGTTCTTCAGTGTACTAGCAACGAACACCGTTAATTCCATCATCCTTAGTCATTGATACATCCAAGTGGCATTTGTTAAGTTCCCTTGTAGAGAATAAGGAATGTACCCTGAGATCCAGGGAAATAAGAGGTGCCAGTGGGTGTGTGTTAGATGGACAAATGGATGGATCCCTGTTCTCTGAGCCCTGTCCTCTTCAGCTGACGATTTCCCATTTTCTCAGTCAACACACTCAAAGACTACAGTACCTCTGTGCTTTATCTTTTTCTAGGGTTGTTTGAAACTATTCCTGTGAAGACATAAATATTCTATTTTGAGAAGATCTTCATACTCTTGCACTACTTAAAAAGGAAAAGTCATTTCAGGAAGTCAGATCTGGAAAGTGCCATAGTGATCATTTAACCTAAACACTCACACATAAACAGGAATTCAAATCCTGAATTTGGATGGACACCGTTTGCACCAACTTAGTCATGAGACTCATGTCATTAATCACAACATGGGTCTGGCTTGGAAGAGTTTCAATATATTTTTATACTCAACAAATATGTGTTGAGCTCCCACATGCCAGCTACTGTCCTGCGCTCTGTGAATCTAGCAATGGATAAAGGAGATTAAGTCCCTCAACTAATAGAACTTATGGTGAACAAGAATAACAGGGGCTTGGAGGGTGGGGTGCAAACACAGAGAACCCATGGGCAGCCTCATTTGAGATATTCTGGCTTTGAAAATTATGTTCCTGGCCATACAAGAAAATTCCCTTCTCCCGTTGAATGAAAATATTTCTATCTGTACCTATCAAACACATTTTTTTTTGTTATTTCAAATTAAAATAAACAAGAGTCATGGATTTTCCTCAGAAATTTGTAGTCGCTCCCACAAGCCATGTATCATCTCAGCAGGTGGCTTCTCATCTGAAAACTGAGGGGCTTGACCAGGTGATTACTTGGGATTTTTTTATGCTTTTTAGACTCAATTCAGCAGAGCCTCATGGGTGACATCTATTTCTGTTATTTTCCTTGCTTCTTCAACCTCTCACTTGTCGTCTGTGGGGGGTGGCACTTTAGTTTCTGTATCTCCTGGCTCTTCAGACTCTGTGATATGGCTGGATCTAAAAGGGAAGAAAAAGCTAGAAGATTGCAGTGTTCTGGGGATTGGTATTTCTCTTGGCCTGCCAGAACACTGCAATCTTCTAGCTTTTTCTTCCCTTTTAGATCCAGAGAACCAAGAACTACAAGACCATCCATCATTGTGCCAGGATATACAAGACTGTTAAACGTGTCCACCTCCCACCCTTTGAGGATCATTTCTTAGCCTGGTTGTCAGAAAAAGAAACCTTGCCAAGGCTTTTATTTTTCTTTCTGGTGCTAGTGCCAAGGATAAAATATCAAGGTCATAAGGTACTAGGACTCAGAAAATCACAGAGTAATAAAAAGAGAGGCTGAACCAAATAAAAGAAAATATGGGAAAGAAAGAGGGAGAGAAAAGAGGGTAGTTAAAAGTTGTCCAAAAAAAAAACCCCAAAACTTAAAGATAATCTATCTTATACTTTAGCTCAACTTGTCAAATAGGGTATTGGAAATACTAAATAAAGGGTTTCAACAGTGCCAAGCTTTGCTTAATTTGCGGAGGTATTTATGTTAAATGCTACAAAGTGTTGGCCACTCTTCATATATACAAAAGGGACAGTGTAGGCCACAGTGAAAATGACCTGTGTTGGCTTGCATCACTTGCTCTGGATTAGAGTTTGACTGGGCTGCAGCCCCAGTATTGTCCCAGGCAGGTTTACATATAAATAACAGAGGATGTACTGGCTGCCAATTAGGGGTACCTGGTAGATCATGCAGCTGATAAGTGGTTAATAGTCTCATTCTACAAGGGGGAAGCAATCTCCCATGCGATGGCCCTGTGTGTCTCTCCTCCCTATGCTGGAAGGGTCAATTCAAGTTTGTCTTCCTGTTAAGTCTTGTCGGGGAAACTACAGTTCACAAGGGCCACTGCTGCGTTTGAATTAAAAGCACAATGGACTCATTTATCAATCATGTTCCATCTTGAAAGCTTATGTTGTTTACTTGTAGCCTTACAGTGTATTCATATCTTGTCTGAAGCCACTTCAGGCATTAAATTTTTTTTTTTTTTGGTTTTTAATCTTTGGATGTAACTCTATGTACTGAAGGTATTTCACTAGATTTGTTCAAGATTTAGTTTTTCTTGAGACTGTCTCATACACACACACACACACACACACACACAAAGCATAATTAACTTGAAGAAAAATTTAAAGGATGCTGAAGGACGCTTTGACTCTGTTCTCTTCGTTCCTCATGGAACCACAGTGTCCTCCAGCCTTATCTTCCATTGAGGCAGCCAGAAAATAAAAATTTTAAATAGTCGTTTGCCTAAGTCTGGCTGGGCGGAATAACCAAGAGGTGACAAGCAATTTGAAGGTTGAAGCAGGAACTACTTTATTTCGAGTGAACTCAGCAGGAACTGAGAACTCAAAGTAGCAGGCACCCAAGGTAGCAGAAGCCGCTTCTCTGCCGGACAGCAAAGGTACATATACCCAACTAATTACACTCAGCTTCACTTAATTGACATCATCTAGACCCAGCAGTCAGTCATTAAGGAATCCTCATCATCTTAATGGCTCGCTGGCGTTACTTCACAAACCACTCCTCCTAGCATACTGCCAGGCGCCATCTTAACTTGGTTGTGGCCCTCATCAGTCGTTGACTGCTAACTTACATGACAGAGTAAACGCATGGACATCATGGACCTCATTTTCTTACRTGTAGAAAAGTATTAGAATGATGTAGTTTTTTAGACATGTCCAGGTGACAGATTGTTATTTAAATTCAGTTTCAATCTCTTCAGAACTTTGGAAGGATGAAATCTTTTCCAGATCTTCACAGGTAGGTAAATAGTTTTCTTTTTCACATGATAATGAGAGCAACTTTTTCCATTCTAGAAAAATCTTTGTAGGCCTTCCTCTACATAGGATATGACACACTGGGTTCTGGAACCCATCAATCAGAAAGTTGTACTAAATATCAAATCATTCTTCTAAACTCAAAGTGGAAACTTCGCCAAGTATTCTAGAACTCCATGCTGTCCTTCTAGCGTGTCCTGGTGTTCTCCATGTACCCAAGGCAGGGGCCTCTGGCATTAGTTTGTGGCTCATCCTTCTTCATCATCGGGAGAGATTAGAGCCCTGGAAAAAATGGCAAGTGACGTCGTTCCTTCAGACAGCAGAAGTATTAGCAGAACTACCATTTCTATACTTTCTGACAGCCCTTCGTCTTTCTCAAGGTCTGGAAAATTTATATAAAAGTATGTAGCCAAACGCAGCAGAAGTTGGAAAGGAGAAGCTTTGGTATTTCAAAAAAGAAGATTTCTCACCCCTGCTTTTAAAATGATTTCAAATTGATGTTTTAAAGGTTACTATACCCGTTGTTAGATTTTTAGAATTAAAAAGGAATATTTCGCATGCACATAATAGCGAACTCCTCCTGCATGATTAGATGCAAAATATACCCCCAGGCTGTTCTCTTCCATTATCTGCAAGTAATTGTCTCTCTCTCACACATCCCTGTGTCATCTGGCACTGCCATTTCTGTTCCTGAGACTCTCTTTTCTTCCTAGCACCATCTTCCAACTGCCAAAGGGCACTGATTTTGAAACAAATGTTTTTGGCTTTCTGATTTAATTTCTGCCATTGCTGTGGCCATGGCTATTTCACGTTTTTGTTTKGTTTGGTTTGGTTTCGTTTATTAAGTGACACGATGTAAAAAGGTTTGTACTCAGTGAAATGACAGATATGCCCTCACCTTTGAAGCTGCTTTGATCAAGTTAGTTCTGAATTGGGCAGAACAGAGGCATTTGTGTTTTTTTTTTTTTTAACCTTGAAAATTACATTTATGTTGTATTTAGGAGGCAAAGGAAAATCAACTTTCATCATAAAATGCTGTTTTTCCTCTCTTACTCAGGCCTACCAACACCATCACTATGACCGATGGGGACTATGACTATCTGATTAAACTCCTGGCCCTTGGAGATTCAGGGGTTGGGAAGACGACATTTCTTTATAGATACACAGATAATAAATTCAACCCTAAATTCATCACTACAGTGGGAATAGATTTCCGGGAAAAACGTGTGGTAAGTTTTTAATCGTACTGTTCACCTTGTTGCTTCTCATCCTGTATAAAGTCAGAATGAAGAGAAGTGTCTTTTATCACAAGGAACCCATATCCTGACTCTAGAATGTTATTTACTTATTTTTTTGGCTATAAATAACATTTTGCTAGAAAAATATTGAATGGCATAATCTCTTGTCTCCAAAGGTATTACAAGGCAAATAAATAACTTTTGGATTTGTGTAGTGTATTTCCTATGAATTCTTTTTCTAAAAATAGTTTTTATTTTTTAGTTGTAGTTGGACACAATATCTTTAATTAATTTGTTTCTTTTGATGTGGTGTTGAGGATTGAATCCAGGGCCTCACCGGTGTTAGGCAAGCGCTCTACCGCTGAGCCACAATCCCAGCCCTCCTATGCATTTTTAAGAAATTTTTCCAAATTTGAGTTATTCAGGATCTCAAAAAAAAAGAAAAATTAACTCCTTGATCTGAGTTAAATTCCTTAAAAAGACCAAGTGTAAGTCTTGCTTGTAACAAAGAGGTTAAAAGCATGATTGGCAAATAGCTGGAACATGAGCTCTGTAAGTTCTTGCTGCATTTTTATTTACGTGGAGCCTCAGCCATCAATCACTGGCTGATTATGAACAGAATGTGAGACCGATTTCATGCTCTTTTCCAAGATAAGGGAGTTTAAGTGAGAATCACAACCACCCTTCTCCTATGCTAGACACTAATGACAGGAATAAGGATATTGTGACATGTGAGACATGCAGCAGAGGCCCATAAGCTTAGCCAGATTTCTTGCCACCCAAGTTTTCCCGACTGCCAAGATGGCTGTGGCTCCCAGTTGATGTCACAAATCCACTCATTCCTGGAGAATTCAGAAAGAAAACAAAGGAAACGGGTGTGGGAAGGCCACTGCCTGAGACTTTGAGTCATGACCCGTACTTTATCTCAAAGTCCACACCTTGCAGTGGAGTCTTAGCAAACTTGCTTGCTTCAGGTTGGCTTCAGTTCCCCCCTCCCCAATGCCCCCACTCATCTGCATATACATCCTTGCAAAATTTTCCCTTGAAGACATTTTTCACTAAGCCAATAAACTTACTTAAAAAGCCCCTTTGAAGAAATGGCTAGTTACAAGAAGGCCTGAGATGTCCTGTGTTAACTTACTGAGAAATTCTGTGTATATTTCACAGCTCAGTTATTTGGAAAGTCCATTTCCACTCTTGATGAAATTTAGGTATTTGTAAAACACTTTACTATTTWAAAAAAAAATACTTTCCCCTTTGTAATTTCATTTTAGTTTGCAGTAAGTCTGCTAAGCAGGAAGGGATTATAGGACTCAGTTTGCAGATAAAAATATGAGACTTGGGTTAAATGAGGGGTTGATTTTTGAACTTAGAACTTGTGTCCTAAATTTGATGTTTGTTGGCTCTATAAGGAAATGACAGAAAGTATGTAATTTAAGTTTGCAATATGGTTAAATAGCATTGGAAATCATACTTGAACTTGACATTTAAAAGTGATATATATAACTTTTAAATTATATATATATATGAATGATATTTGTGGGGAAAAATGGAGCAAATATTTATTCTGTACTATGAACTTTGATTATAGTATTCAAGAGAAAACACACTGATGGAACCCAGAGAATTAGAATGTTGGCAAGAATCCAAAGCAATATTAACTGAGGGGAATTTTATCTTTCAGGTTTATAACACACAAGGACCAAATGGATCTTCGGGAAAAGCATTCAAGGTGCATCTGCAGCTTTGGGACACTGCAGGACAAGAGAGGTAATAGGAAATCACTTTATTTCTAGTGACATATAGCCCAGAAAAAATTATTTTAAATGAATGCTGGATATGAACTTGAAAGACAAATCATATGCTACTATTCTCCTCATGCAAAAACTGGCATTTGTTTTGGCCAGGGGTGGGAGTAACCAGGGATTGAACTCACGGTGATTCAACCACTGAGCCACATCCCCAGCCCTATTTTGTATTTGAAACAGGATCTCACTGTGTTGCTTAGTGCCTTGCTGTTGCTGAGGCTGGCTTTGAACTCATGATCCTCCTGCCTCAGCTTCCAGAGTCTCTGTGATTACAGGCCTGTACCACCGTACCTGGCTTAAAAATTGACATTTTATTGAGAAATAAAAACAAATGATTTCTAGTTAACTAATCATACTAGCATTGTGGAGCTCCTACAGATACAGAGATCGGATTCAAGTAAATCTGACTCTGCTTCTACTAGGAGAAAGCCTCTCCAGGGTTACTTGCATGAAGATGTGAAAATGCTGTTATAAGTGCTATTTGAGGTGGGAGTTGACAGACCGTTCTCCTCTCTTCCTATTCTTCTGTGAAGCCTCGGTCCCCTGCCAAGTGACTGACTTGACTCTCTCAGATTTTGGTTATACCTTTGCCCTCCATCTAGAATCTTGAACTCCCTTCCCACCTTTCTCAATGTTCCCCTGTCACCAGGCCTGGCTCAAATTCCACCTCCTGGTAAAACCTCTCTGAGCACTCCAGCTGAAACAAAAGGCCACTTTTTCTGAACACTTGTGGCCCCTGTCTTACCCCCTTCCATTACTAAATTAATTAAATACCACTTTGTAAAAAGGCAAATCTTCTATTTCTACCTCGAACTGCTCTATATGGATTCTCTTGTGGTTTTTCTCATCCCATCAAAATTGTGAGCTTTCTAAGGGCAGAGACTTTACCTGGGGCTTCAGCATCAGCCCCAATACAGTGTCCAGGATCATGGATACTCAGTACCCAGGAGTGTTGGTTGCTTCGAGCTGGAGGTATCATTCCGTTATTTAATAAAGATGCATTTCTTTGGTTTCTTTTGGATCTAATATTTTGAAGAGTCACAGTTAATAAATCTTTTCAACAATGGATCAAAAAAAAATTTAAATCCGCAATAGATTGACARCAGAGATGTTGAGAAGGTACGTACCTCCAAATCCTGCATCGCGTGTCTTAGAATGCTCATGCTTGTAAACACTTCCAGTTTTGAAATGCATCCAAAGTGTTCTCACTTTCCGTGGGTGTAAACGTCGGGAGAGGTGCTGGGCCCTCTCCGTTAGCTTTTTTGACTGTGAATTCCATTTACACACACCCTTCAACACTACTGCTTCCGCGGAAGCCGCTCCTCCTGCGAGTCTCTGTTCGTGTGTCAGTTTTGTTGTCACCAAGATGGATGCTGTATAGACCAATTTAATTCATTTTTGAAGAAGTAATAGGAGAAAATGTGGTTCCCATATGTCCTCGCACATGAGATGTCAGCTTAGCATGATGGCAGGCTTCTCTCATCTGTCCCCCTGAGACAGCTGCGCRGTGAGGGAAATGGGGAATACTAGGGGCAGTCTTAGTCACACTTGGGTTACTCATCCCCTGAGAAGGCAGCGTTCTGTGTRTGTGGGGCGTAGCTAGGCAACGAGATCAGCCGTGCCTCACACCTCGGCCCTATGCCTCAGGACATCTGGCAGGATGMTCCGTGTAGGGTAATGATTATTGATGGAAGTTACCTCGTGGGAAAGAGGAAAAACACATGATCCTTCCGTGAACCTAAAGGATAGGGGACATAGCCTTAGTGCCAGGTGAGACAGACAGAACGACAGGTGCCTGACTCTGGCCTGTGTTTCCTTATGTGGTCCTCTCTCTCTTCACCTTGCTGATCCCTGGGCAGAATGAGGCAGCAGGGGTTGGGGGACAGGAAACTGGAAAGTGCGTTTCTGTTTTCCCAGGGCAAATGAAGGTTAACAGGAATACTGGGCAGAGCAGTCCTCAGAGTATCAGAACCACCCAGAACCAGAGCGTCCTGCCTACACRACTGTGAAGGAACATGGGACCAGCCCAGTCTGGTCTCTACGTGTTTTAGAAGAACTTCTTGTGTACTGTAGGCAGCCAGAGAGGGTGACAGTCTTGTCCTCAAGTGAGAAACATGCACACTCAGGGAACAAAGAACAGTTTTYGTAGCCACATCACTATTATGGTTGGGCAGGAAATGATTCTGTGGGTACAGCTAGYCTTCAAAGAGAGAGAACCATTCAACAAAAGCACTGTAATCTCCATGAGCTCCCAGCGAACCATAGAAACAGAGTCACAGAGGAAAAAAAAAATGAGTAAATATTCTTATATTTTATGCTACATCTTCAAATCTTCTCTATGGAAGAAATAACTACTTTGGGGAAACAAATAGTAACTAAGTCATCTCTTTCCCCCTTCTTTGGTATTAAAAGTAGCCTTCTCTATGGAAGTCATTTTAAATATTTAATAATTTTCTATCTTTATTCTCATTTTCTTTCTATTTTTCTGTTACTATCTTTAATATCATAAATATTTAAAAACTAATCCCTCAATGGATGGTGAATCAGAAACACAGCTGCTTTTCCCGTCGGAGAGACCAGCGTAGGGTGGAAACTGAACAAATAAACGATTGCAATTCTGCCCTGGAATAGTGACAAGGAATCAAAGGTAGTAAGTGAGCCCTCCAGGAAGAGGCTGTCACCCAGATGTGGGTGCTGGGGAAGCCCCTGGAGGAATGCTGTTTCCTCTGGTGCCATGTTCATGCCCACACACAGAGTATGAGTGAGGCTTATCCACTCTAAAAGAAGGAAAGGGGAAAGGATGCCTTAATGTGAGGTCACCCACCGAAAGACCAGCATGTGTGAGAGCCCGGGAGGGGGGTGAACTTTCTCAGAGCTGGAGAAGCTCAGCATGCCTGTGGGTAGTGAAGAGATGAAGCTRAAATGATGAACAGCATCTTGTCCCTGCAGAGCCCAGACAGCTTTATTAGGAGCTGGGGTGTTAAGAGTCATCTATAATTGTTAAAATGTTGGTAGTAGTCATCAATATGAAGCAATGCGGGTACCAAAAATAGAGTCTTGGCAGGGGAGATGGACAAAACTGAGCAGGTCAAGAGGTCTGTGTCACCTGCACACATCAGGTGAAGGAGACAGAAGTTGTGGCAGCCAGGTCAATGACGAAGGCACTGACAGGAAAAGAAATCAGGAGGAGGGGCTGGTTTGTTTTTGGACATAAGAAGTTGGAGACACCTGAGTTCCCTCCAAGTGGAAATATCCAAGTAATTAGGCACTTAGGGTGAAGGGCAGGAAAGATCTGGATCTATAAACATTGGATTTCTCAACAGATAAGCTGTAATTGAACCAAAAATAAATGACATTATCTAGTGCCTATTTACAAAATGAGGAAAGTCAAGAATAGAACTTTGAGCTGGGTGTGGTGGCACACGCCTGTTTTCCTAGCAACTCAGAAGGCTGAGGCAGGAGGATCACAAGTTCAAGGCCAGCCTCAGCAATGTAGTGAGACCCTAAACAACTTAGCTAGACTGTGCCTCAAAATACAAAATAAGAAGGGCTGGGGATGTGGCTCAGTGGTTAAGCATCATTGGATTCAATCCCTGGTGCAAAACAGAAAAACAAACAAATTTGAGAAAACCAACATGAAAGATCTTTTCAGACTAAAATAAGAAATGAGCAATTGGAGGACAATTAGGATAGAAGGTGATATACGTCTCCATTTCCAATTCAATGCCTTTCTAAAACCCATTGTCAAATTCGAAACCTCTGGTCCCTATGTGCGGTCTGTGGTTTTGCCCATTGCTAATGTCTCTGGGGATCTCAGCAGACCTTCAGCTTCCCTGAAGAAGTCATGGGGCTGGAAGAGAAGCAGGAGAGAAAGGTTGTCCCCATTGCACACAGAAGAGCATGTTCTTCAACATCCTCATTAGAAATGAGTGAAGAACCTTCCTTTCTTTCTCCAACTTCTCAGCCTCTTCTGTCCCGACCCCCTCTGGGCATCCTATTCATCTTCCTCTSCTAAGAACTAGATGCCAGCTCAAAGCTCCATTTTCCCCCAGGAGTGCTTTAAAAAGAATCAATTCACCAAACATTTTCCTTACAAAAGAAGTCTAGTTCCAACTGCTAACAAGTTGTGGTTTTCTTCATATGCTTCCAGGCATTCATTTTCAAGAATTTTTGTGCCAAGTTTTCTTCTGGGCACAGACAAGAAAAATTGAAAAGTATAAGTTTAAGTCCCCGCTCTCTCAAGTGGCTTACATTCTAACTGTGGGCCATGCCATGCCCATGAACCAAGAAGGAAAATATTCCAGGAGGCTGCATAAGCAAGCGTGGGATTGACTATGACAGACACAGTGCATATATAAGTGCCCAGGGGCTCTCAAAMCAGGACACCCAAAGCCTGGCCTGGCCCTCCTGCCATCTGTCTGCCTGCTCTCCTCAAAGGAGGAAGCCTTTGCAGCTTCCTAACCACCATTTCTGTAGGAGAATCCAGCAGGACCACCATGGAGACTTCACACCCGAGAGGGAAACAGTGTTGCTGGTTCCATGATCATAAGTCTGTGGACTAACTCCCCAATCCGCCCACTGTGCTTCCTCGCAGGTTCCGGAGCCTCACCACTGCGTTTTTCAGAGATGCCATGGGCTTCTTGTTAATGTTTGACCTCACCAGTCAACAGAGCTTCTTAAATGTCAGAAACTGGATGAGTAAGTGGGACTGAGTCACGGGTGCACTGGCTGCGTTGGGATCCAACAGCTCCATAGCTTGTTGGACTTGGGAGATGCGGCCAGGTTGGGTACCATGGGCTATCTTTGAAAAGGCATAAGAGTTTAGTATTTCCTGTGTCACCTTCACAGTGGTGGCCTCTACCTGGCTCACCCAAGGTAGCTTGGAATCACATTTTCCTTTGACCCTGTTCCTGGAGGAAGCCTTGGCAGCTTTCTAACCACCTATATTTAAGGTCTTTATTATTGTAATTAAAAGACGATGAATACCACTTGTCTAGTAAGTCTTGAATGACTCGTTATAACTAAGTGAGCTTCCACTTCTGCAGCTCCTCACCTGGGGAGGGCACAGAGAACAAGAGCAGGGTTTTCTGAGATGGGGACATTGGCCCTCTGATGTGTTCAAGGATGAAAGACTTAAAGTAGCCAGAAATTGCTCGAGGTCAGACTGCTGTATGAGGGGAAGGCCTAGCCCATCTGTCATTCAGCTCACATTGGAATTTACTTCTCAAGCCATTGTTCAAATATGAGGACCCATTTTTCTCATATAGGAAAATCTCCAGCCTCCATGGCCACCTAGATATAATACACAACTGAAATGCTGCCTGATCAGTCATAGAAGTGGGGTTGGTACCCATCACCACAGGAGGGAAGTGTCAGAAGTTGCCCTTATTTATTTTTTTATTTGACATGTACCACAAAAGAGACTATTTCATTCACATTTTTAGAACAGATAAAAAGTTTGATCGAACGAGATGGCACAGCAGCAGGCCAGACCTGTTGCCCTGTGGGCTGGTTCTGCTCTTGCTATTTCTGGATTTGTCTGGGCTGTCTGTGGCCAGCTTGACGCTGGGTTTTGTTTTGTTTTGTTGTTTTTAAATTGGATCAGTTTTCCCCTGCTGAAGTTTTTTGACTTTCCTTTTCACCTGGAGGAATATTAGCAGAGTCCTTGAGGCCCTCCTGAGGCCCCTGTGATTAGATCTGACTTCTTCCTCTTCACTTGTACAGGGCCGGGGCTCCCAGGTCAAGGGTTGGTGGACATGAGTCCTCTTCCTGCCGTGGGCCTTCTACTTCCAGTTTCCTCAGTCTTTATTTCTCTCCTTTTTTTTTTTTTTTACAGTTTTTTTTTATAGTTATTTCTTTCCCAAGATTTTGTCCAACACTTGATTTCTTGGGAGAGGCTTTTCCTGACCCACAACCTCATCTAAAAGGACACTTGACATCACTTTGTCCCCTCAATACTCTGCACAGTTCCTTTAGTCACTATCACCACATGTCACTATATTAAGTATTTTTGTACTTTTGTTTTTGAATCTTTGTCCCTCTGGAATACAGGCCTGGGAATGTGCACACTTGGTCTATTTCATTCCATTGCAAAGTCCAGAGCTTAGTGAGCAATGGGCACAGGGTAGATCGATCTCTCTCTCTCTCTCTCTCTCTCTCTCTCTCTCTCTTTCTCTCTCTCTCTCTCTGTGTGTGTGTGTGTGTCTGTGTGTGTGTCTGGGTGTGCATATTTATTTCTTTTACTTAAAGTTAGTAATATATACTTAATAATTAAAATCTAAAAAAAGCTTTCAATGTGAGTTCAATAAGAGTTGCAACCAATGGACAAAACATCAACAGATTTCTGTCTTTCTTAATTGTTTCTCCAAATGAATGTTTATTCTGGGATCTGTCTCTATTTCCTTTTAATATGTATTTCCCTATCCCAATTTTGGTGGCATTATTAGATTCTGAGGGGACAAGAAGATAATAAGATTGTTAAATTCTTTCCAGAGGTTGATTTATTTGTCTTTTTTTTTCAAGGCAGATGAGACTCTTGTTTTTAAGTCTCCAAAAGGATAATGTTGGGGTTTAAGATAATCTAGTTTTGTTTTGTTGTTTTTAAATTGGATCAGTTTAAAAACAACAAAACAAAACTAGATTAATTATCTTAAACCCCAACATCTAGTTAATACTACATCTAATTAACACTTTAATGTCTAACACACAAATAATTGATATTATAGGGAAAGCCTTTGTGTTCTTCCTGTAGTTTTGACAAGATCCTACACAACCAACACTCCTTAAAGTAGGTATTAAAGTAGTCTCTGATTTAGAAAACACAAAGGGATGGATTTCTTATCTTTTTCTTCCTTCCCCATATCTTCCCTCCCTCCCCTCTTCCTTCATTCTTCCCTTATTTCTGTCTGTCTGTCTGTCTGTCTGTCTCTCTCTCTCTCTCACACACACACACAGTATTTTCTTGGAGAAAGCAGAAAAACAAGATACCTGTCCTAAAATGAATTATGGTAGTTCAAAAATGTTCCATTCCACTGATCCCTTCTTGGGACAACAGAAAAGGTGAAAATCTAGCAGCTTCCTAATGGAATAAGCAGATTTAAATAGCTTCAAATTGTGTTCTGGTACCTCCGCTTGTATCTGGGGAGCAAATGGTATGCGGTGGTATGCTGAGCTCTGGCCATTTCCCTGGATGTAGAAGAACACAGAGAGCTATGGATGCAGGTACTTCTTGGACATTATTCACTGTCTGCAGTTTGTGAGGCATTATCTCCATTTTATAGACAAGGAAACTGTGACTGAGAAGAGTAAGTGACTTGGCTAATTACTAGTAAGCAACCAAACTGCAGATGAACAATTCGATTAGAATCTGGAGTATGAGCAGTCATTTGACATTGCTTGTTTACATCTAACTTGCTGGTTCCATCTGCTTCCTTTCCAAGGCCAACTGCAAGCAAATGCTTACTGTGAAAATCCAGATATAGTATTAATTGGCAACAAGGCAGACCTGCCAGACCAGAGGGAAGTCAATGAACGGCAAGCCCGGGACCTGGCTGAAAAATATGGGTAAGTCAGTTCCACCAAGAACGCTCTGACCTAGAACTCTTCTGCCCAATGAGTGGAGCAGACACGAGATTGGTGTTTGAAGGAATCTCCTTGGATCAAGAACAGGAGGTGAGCTGAAAAAGACCCTCCAAAGAAATATGTGATGGTTTAATGCTTTACTTAATAATAATAGCAGGTGACATTTACTGAATTCTCATATATGCTAGCAACTGTTCCTAGGCTTTAACTCATTTAACTCCTTATCACCACGTGGAGATACTGGAGTAATTCCATTTTGTACATGGAAGATTGAATCACTAAGAGATTGAGTACCTGATAGAAGGCCATATAACTAGTAAGGAACAGAACTTAAATTAAGTTTGGACAGCTTATGATAGCAGCTCATGTGCTTAAACAGTATCCAGTTGCTCAATAATTACACAAGTCTAAAGAGTAGTACCTGACATGGACATGGTAATGTAGCCCTTGTCCTGAGCTTGAATGATACCTAGAAACAAGACCAAAAAGAAATCTATGTACTTAAAAGAGGACTTCCACCATAAAATTTGTCATTAAAATTTTTAATTTTTTTATAGATATACACAAAACCTTTGTTTATTTATTTCTCTGTAGTGCTGAGGATCGAACCCAGTGCCTCACATGTGCTAGGCAAGTGCTCTACCACTGAGCAACAGACCCATCCCCCAAATTTGTCATTAATTTTTAAGTTTAAAGCAATTTCATACTATCTGCCAATTTTGTGCTAAAGGATTCTTATTTGGAGTTGTAAATTTTACATCTCAGAATTGTTCATTCTAAACAAATATAGGCTGCATTCACGTGAATATCCATTCAGTGCATGTCTCATTTCTAAATTAGATTTCTAAATGATTGATTGGAAGGGAAGTAATATTTTCACGGTAGTTTCAGTCACAAGTTTGGGCATTTCCTCCCTCCTAGTTTTTAAAAGAATGATAACACCTTGGCTTCAACATCCTGACAGCCTCCTGCAGAGGTTGCCTTGTCCATAAAACTGATGATAGCCATCCTAAAGATCAGCCCACTAATTTTTACTTAACTGAGAAAAAGCAAGGATGTTTTCCAATGTATCCTGTGAAAACACGATTTCACAATCTCTCTGCCAGCCATGTTTTTGCATGTGTGATTTCTTCCTCTTAAAAATATTTATCATTAGCATTCTGTGCGAGAATTCTGAACATCCACTTTTCTTGGCATTTTTTTGAGACTACAGTAAGTTCCAGAAGTGTATTATACGGCAGAGTGACTCTATGTAATAATGATAAGTCGTATTCGTGAAAAATGCACAGAGAGAGAGTGCTAACATAAAAATGATAACTGTGTGAGGTAATAGATTTGTTCATTAGCTAGATTTAACCATTTCACCATGTATGTACTTCAAAACATTTTTTAATAGGATGCACACGTACAGTTTTATCTGACAATATATATGTGATCTTTTCTCTGCTAGCATACCATATTTTGAAACAAGTGCTGCGACAGGACAGAATGTAGAGAAATCTGTGGAAACCCTTCTGGACTTAATAATGAAGCGAATGGAACAGTGTGTGGAGAAGACACAAGTCCCCGACACCGTCAACGGTGGAAATTCTGGAAAGCTAGACGGGGAAAAGCCCGCAGAGAAGAAATGTGCCTGCTAAACTCTACCTAGGAACTGATAATCAAGAACCCCACCCAAATATTCCTCCCCAAAGCAATGATAAGCCACACAATCATTGTTGAGTAGACCATGAACAATGGCATGTCTTTCTTTTTCTGCCAGATCTGTTTTTAAGAAATCAGAGTAAGTCAACAGTGTTCAAACAAATTGACCAATTCTCCTTGAGCCCCTTCTAAACACAAATCAAAGATTTTTTTTTTTAAGGTGATCTCACCAGCATGGATGTTTTTTTTTTTTTTTAAATAAAGAAGTTGAGCATATAAGAGAAAATATAAGAAAGAAATGTTGGTGAGTTTTAAATGAGAACAAACATTGCCTTTTCACATTGGAGAAGGAAGGATGACTAAAGGTGAACATGGCAAGTTGCCTTTAAAAAAGATTATATTTACTTCTTGTACAGAATCTGATACCTAGTTCCACATTGGCATTGGGGAAAATATAATAGCAACAATGGTTATACAATGAAGAAGTCTATATAGCTCATAAAAGAATGACATTGCTGTGCATAGCCAATAAACGACACTAAAATGCTCAAGTGCTGCTAGGTTTGTGAGAGGGTGATTGTCAGATTTCTGCTAAAATGAGGAGATTGCATAACAATGCCATTTTTTATATTCCTAACCAGTGGCAGATAGACCAGAACAGAACTATGATGGCAGATTAGAAGTGATTGCCTAAAGGAGAAACGAAAGTATGGGGATATGGCATTTGGATAGCTGAGAGTAAATGTATCTGTCCAGATGCCTGGAAAAGTTACTTAGCCAAATTTCACTCAAGCCAATTAGAAGCTGGCATTATTCGTTGGGATTAGGAGGCTCTCCAGAGGTTTCTATTTCAAACAAAATTTTCGGAATCCGTGGGGGTGGTGTTCAGCTTCACGTTTCATTTTCCATAGCATATCTTGATAAATACTCACAAGGAGAAATAAACTGTTGCTGTTGACTAAGTATCTCTTTTAAAAATGTTGTCAAGAAAATCTATCTAAAATTTTTTTTAAAAAACATAAATTGTGTTGGTGATATAAAACCAAAAGTGACTATCAATTGTGGGTTTCCTTTGTTTACAAAAATCTGGGAGACTCCAAATCACATACCTTCCCTCAACCTTGGCTTTGAAAACCATTGTGGAAATGCAGGTGTATTATTTGTAGATCAGCAACTTCAGAATAAGGATGGAGCAGCTCTGTGGTCACTCTGGATTTTCAAATGATTAATCACATAGAAATTGAAGATATCTCCTTATTAAAATGTCTTTATTTTTTTATTTTGCCTAAGGCAAAAGAACACCTATGGTTGAGCTGTATTTGAGGAGTGAACAGGAACAGAGCTCTATCTTATCTCACCAAAATTGTGGCAAATTGTTCTATCTTCTTTTTTATATATATAAGCTGTCTTTTCTAAGTATTGTCACAAAGTACTTTCCATTGGCCAGTTCTCAACATCATCTAAACTAATATTACACTCATTTTGTTATCTCATTTTCTGATATCCATAAGCCATTCCTATGACAATATTAAGAATGTTATCAATAACAAAGGCAATGTAATACAATTTTCCATTTTGAGTATAGGGTTTTTTTTTTATAGGATGGTTCCTCTTAAAATTTTTTTTCCAGCCACACCTAGTTTTTCCATGCTCTATACACATTTAATTTGTTAAATTATACACATTAGAAACAAAATACCAGCACCTTCCTCCTTGTCAGTATCATAAGCATAGGCAGATCCAAGGGAATTTCTGTCTGTAAGGTTCACAGGATGGTCTACCATCAATGTGCCCCAGGTCAGAACAGTCTGGAAGCTTTGATGGGATCAGTCCCTGTGTAGCTCTCAGTGCCCAGCACCTCTGACTTCTGCAGCACCACACCAGCTTCTAAGATGGATCATGGTTGGCTTTCCCCTCCAAAGGTGTTTTCTCTGGAATGTTCTTCAAAATCTCAGTGCCTGTGCCATGAAGATAGACAATTATTATTTAAGATATTTCTTCTGGAAAGAAAGTGGCGGGGAATGATATAACCACTGCTGTGGCAAAGTTTGGTGAACTTTTGTGGTCATGATAATTTCTTCTTTGGATGCAAATTGTGATGTCCCCTGCATTTGCCTAACAGGGAATGTTTGTTCTTTATAAAATGCCAAAGCAATTATTTTGTTTTGATATGTCTTTTAGTTCCTCTTCATTTTCCAGTTACATGATTGATTTCCTTATGCCAAGATTCTGTCACTGTCAGTTATTTAATGAGTATTTTTTCAGGGTCTGTTTTAAGATCATTATTTGATAGCTGTAGCATGAAGCAGAAGGTGATGGTGCCTGTAATTATAGAACTATGCTTGTAAAAATAACAATTATTGGGTAACAATCTCAACAGGAATGAAATTTAAGACTGGAAAGAAATTAAAATATTATTCTACTTACAAATAAAACCTTGTCTAAAAAAAAATATTTTCTCAGTGAAATTTGGCATCTGACCCCAAATCTATATAATCCATTGTTAGAAATTCCCTCTCTCATTATTTCAGTATTAATAGCTCTGTATTAATTCATTTTATAATTTCAAGTTGATCTTCTACCATGATATGGAACTCCATGTTTTTGTATTCCAGAACAGTATATATTTTTAGCCACAATGTGTCCTGTTACTAATTATCTCCCAATCCATCAGAAAACCCTACTGTATTTTGGAGACCTACTTTAAAAGTACATGACTCCTTTCTGATACAGAATCCGTTTCGGTGGAGTTTACACSGGTTTGATGTTTACATTTCCCTAACTCAGTGCCTCAGATACCACTGTGACCAAATTCGCCTCCAGTCACATAGCTCACTTCCTCTAATATGAGGAGAAAGGCTAGACACAGAGACAGTCCTCCCACAGCTAAAGGTCTTCTGAGACCTTCAGCAAAAGATTCAAGGACTTCTTGGTATCTGCTGACAACCACCACCTTCTCTTCATTTCCTAGTTTACTTCTCGTGGATGGGCATTCCTGGATACTCTTGATTTGTGATTATGTACAAGGCTGTGGTTTAATGTCAAAACAAGTCTTTTGAAAAATGTATCAAAAAGAGTTGAGAGACRACAATGTTTGTCTTGATCTGCCGACAAATGGGAGCAAACGTTGAAGTAGCAAAGAAAATGCTGAGTGTTGGGAGCAGCATTTGTGTCTCTTTTCCCAAAAGTCTTCAAACTTGTCAGTCAGCGCTCCAGCCAGTTGTGCTACCATGCCCATATGATCAGCTATCACACCCGTTAAAAAAAAAATTGAAACCCAGCATTTTTCTAGTACTTTCTTTGTTATTTTTAACCAGATGGGSCATTCTGTGACTCGGTGGGTCTCTGTCATACTTCTACAACAAGTTCTTTTTGTCCACCTGTTTTTTTTTTAACAGATAAGATGAACTGGACTGTCTTTTTCTTGTTCCCTTTATAGGAAAGAGAAGCTTGAATATAATGAAAGATACATTAAACGTCAACAGCAGACACTACAAGTTCTTTCAGCCGTATGTTGAGTGTGCTGGGACTCAGCGAATGTGATGAAGTCCATGCACCCTCTCGCCAGTGGAGTGAGCTCAGGGKTTAGGAGCACCGTGGTGCATGGGTGTGGTGAACAAGTAGGCATAGGTGTGACCACGAATCCTGTCCCATGGAATGAGGTCACTCACCATTCTCCTTCTCTGCTCACTTAGGAAAGGATATGCATCTCTCAACTCTTTGTATATCGCACCAGAAATTTGATCAAAGATCCTCATACATAAAGGATTTAGAGTGGTACTCTAAAACTCAAAACTATAAAAAATAATATTCCAAGTCTCTGGATTCCTAAGATGCTGAATAACTTTAAAAGGAAGATTTGAGAGCTGATGTTAGCCAAAGTGTTAGAAGAGTTCTTTCACCTTCTACTCCTAAGCTTTACAGCGTTAGAAGAAGTCTAGTGTGTTTGCATCTTTTAGAGAAAATATAAGCTATATCATATTTAAAGATGTCAAGATGCTGTTTATATTTGAATAGGTTGTCTAGGAATTTTCCATAAGCTATATTTTCTTGATTTTTGAGGTATCAGCTTACTTCTGGGGAGAGTCCTGAGTTCTTAAACATGAAAATGGATGTCGAATATTATCTGAGATGACGGTGGTCTCAGTGCTTTATAAATCTCTGAAGCTGCTTATCTCATAATGTAGAGCTTTAGATAAAAATTGTTACACATACATAGGGGATTTTCTAAAATTATTGCCTTCAAATTCTTGGGTAGAGATCCAACCACAATGATATTGGTGAGCAAGAACAAGGAACAACAACCAAAAAATAAAAAATAGGAAAAAGTTGGCTAAATCATACTTTTCAATACAGCATAACATGGAGAAGGTCATATTGACTTTTAGGTAGAAAATAAAAACAGAGATTTGTAACCAGATTTATGGAAAATATTTATCGTTTTTGTTTATGCCCTTATATCTAAGCTAATAAAATAAACACCAAATATTTCACTATGTCATCAAAATTTTGTGTACTTAGAGACATTTATTCACTGTATATGTTGAATCCAATACGCTCATAAATTGTACTTTAATTTCAAGGTGTAGCATCTTAAAGATGTTTTTCTCCAAAGTTCTCTGTATAATGGATGCTTGAGATATTTTCTAATTTCATATGTGGAGAGAAGATCACTAACAAAAATAAACAAAAACATTAGTACCCAAATAGTGGAACTATTTAAAAGAATGTTATCTTTGGGGRAAAATATACCAGGAAATCCTCTTTCGATCGAGTGGTTTGACTTGGTCTTCCTGATCCCCTTCCTTTCCAAGAGGTCAAGAAAGTCATGGCAAATATCCCTTGGCTGACTTAGGCTTTAAGGATGATTAGCAAATTCTATAGAAGTCAGCACATCTGACTTTAACTGAATAGATCCCTTATTGAACCTGTGGCTTCCATCTTTACATCTGTTGGYAAACCAAAATATTACCTGTCTAGCAAGCTAATTATGTATGCTTGTGCTTATTTTTTTTTTCCCAGAGGATATTTCTCTCCAAATGCTCTTTGAGAGAAAGCTAGTGTTATAGAAAGGATAATGACCAGAAAGAACAATTTGGGGACCATGGGTATGTCATTAAATATCTTGGTGGCTTCTCCTCATAYAATGTTTATAAACCTTGAGTGCCTCCTAGGGTTTTTATGTAAGGCTCAGAAAATAAAATACATAAGAAAGTCTTGAAAATTATGTTCCATTTCCTAAACATATGCTATTATCACAAGATAATAACAAATGAAATACTCAGTCTTAGTTTGAACCTCTTGGGGTAAGAAGTATAACAAGGACCACACACTAATTTTAGTAGGGGTATTGGAAACGAAAAATGGGCCAGTGACCTCAAGGTCATTGTGTTTGATTGAAAACATTTAATTAAAAAGTATGAGCTCCATTTGATTGAAAAACACGAGCTCCATTTTAATCTGTATGTCCTCTTGTATTTCAAAAAAAMCAAGTATATTCTAGGTAGTATATTACAACTTGGTCAATGTCCTTCATGTATAAATAGGGCTTCTGTGTCCATAGCCTGGTAAGATTCTGATTGTACTTGAAATTAAGTAAAAAAAATAATTATCCTGCTTTAGTTCCTGTGTTAAAAATAGACAATGTTCTAATCACATAGCACTCAACGCTTCACTGTATCCCAACCATTCACCTTTCAGTGACCTGACTCTCCTTTTTAAGCTAAGCATGTTTGTTTCATCKATCTCCTATTCAGATCTCTGTTTTGTCTAATGCTTTGAATGTAGCTTGAAATTTTAACATGGTGTCTTCATTCTATACGCCCCTGAATAAACTGTGGTTCCTGACAAACACTGTTAGGTCACTTTTTCGTTGTACCAAAGTTCTAGTGGCTTCAGAAATCATAGCATCCAATGATTTTTGTGGTGTCTGGGTTTGAACATTATGGTTGAGAACTGTACTCAGTGATTGTTCTGCACATTTTTCAAATAAAAAATACATTTTTATCAATTATTTTATGGACTTGGAACACCTTTATGTCTTGTGCTGAAGTTGGAGGTGTGGTAGGTGGGAACATTTCATTGGGATCAACATGAACTTGATATCACATTAAAAGCRGAATCCACAGGCTGGGGTTGTGGCTCAGTGGTAGAGCGCTCACCTAGCACGTGCAAGGCCCTGGGTTCGATCCTYAGCACCACATACAATAAATAAAATAAAAGTATTGTGTCCAACTACAACTAAAGAAAAAATAAATATTAAAAAAAAAAAAAAAGGAATCCATGCGGAAGTAGGAAGTGATTTGAGCTCTGCCTCTTGGTTTTTGTTTCTCTCTCTAAATTTTCTCATTAATTAGTTCAATACTGGGCTTTGCTAGTGAAATTTCCTAATAATTTTGAATGATACATTGATTAAAATTAACTATAAAGATGTCAAAGTATTCTGTGGCACATAAGCCCTTCCACATATTATTACACATACCTTCTTTCATAGCAAAATGCTGGGCAGATGGTGGTATCTCCCTTGGCCGTAGAAAGGTGAAAGCCAGTTCGAGGAATTCTAGACCACAGCCATACAGCTTTCTTTAAAATGTTTATTTGCAAAGACTACCTTGCTCCCAGAGTGGACCTCGCCCATATGCTACTTAGATGGGCTTTGCCAAGATAATGATGAGTTTTTAATTGAAAATAAACAACTCTCCCAATGCAAGCAAATACAGCACCATTCCTTCCACTTTGCTCCCTGGGAGCCATAACGTTGTTTCACAAGGCACATTCATTTGCTGCTGGGTTCATCTTAAACAATTCAAGATAAATCATTAGAGCTTTGCTTTCCCTAATGATTGTATAGGATTTTTAAAAGTCATCGCATGCCCCACATTGAGGAAAAAACAGAGCATCCCGACTTTCACGTCATTGGACAATTTCTGGTTTTAAAACTTTGTGCAAGATTTTGATTTGCATTTCTTGTCACATGGAACATACAGTATGTCTTTTTCCCTCTGAAGACTTTCATTTAACATAATGATTCGAAGTGTCTCTGTTGCATATATTTGTTTGTGACCTAGCCCTTTGTATCCAYGGGCTACATCCTAAACCTGAGTTGAACCACGTTTTGTTGATCTCTTCGCCTCTTGGTGGACATTTGTTTTGTTTGGGTTTGTTTTGAGCACTTACAAATAAGGGTGCTGTGGAAACTCAAGCACCTTCCTGCCTTGGCTGTTTTCTCAAATGCCAAGTGCCATATTTTGAGGAGCTACATCTTGAACTCCATACGTTTATACTTTAACAATCAAGCAATTAAAGGTTATTATTTAGATATTTATTGCCTTCTTAATATTTTTTCATCAAAAAGGGGGGCGGTGTAGAAGAAGAAAGGGATGGAGCAAGGAAGAAAAAAAATAAGGACTTAGCAGTTCTGGGAGGCTATAGGTAACCTAGAGTAACATTGGTAMGGAATCTGTATTTATCTGCAGGTCAGAGGAAAGGTAGAGAGTTTCAAAGTGAAAGAATTGAAGAAGGTGTATGTGTGTGCTTCTTAATTTTATAATTATTATGTTTTAAAATTTAGAATAAAAACAATAATTTCTTTTTTGCAGTTAATTTGGACCAGGGAAAATTAGCAAATAAATTTTAGAACTCTATTGACTGATAAAAACGATCMATTTCTTGTGCATGATTTTGTTATGATCCAATAAAGACATTAATGCATAATAATTTTATTATAAAAYGACACAACATTTACATTATATATAATTGGTCTTCTTTATCATAAGGCACATAAGTAATTGTTCAAAAGATATACTAATTATTTAATCTACACATTTCTTTTTTTTAATTTTGAATCTACACATTTCTTAGCAATGATTTGCAACAACATATGTAATCAAAGTAGAACTAAGTTCCCAACTTCATAATATGAACGTTAGGCCCATCTCAGATCTTCTTATTTATTTTATTATTTATTGTATTTAGAAATGCAGTTATTTAAAATACAACTGAACTACTATTTCTTCTCCTGTATTTTCTTTATAGAAATTTACTTTCAAAGTAATGAATTTCATTCCCCATTTCTTCTGTTTTATTGTTCAGAAATGTTTATTTAAGAAACATTTCTAACTGTTTTGAAATGTTACATAAAAAACATTTTAAATGATAAATTCTAAATCTATAAGGGTATGAAAAATAACCAAAATATGACAAATGAAAGATAAAACTGATGCTACTATAAAGGTATCTTTGTTTTTGATGAGTCTGAATCATTTGAGGCTTCTGTAATTGCTGATTGGTATTCTCAGGGAATTCAAAGTCCATTTCAAAGTGGACCTGGAGGGCAGGTCTCATCTGTATTGTCTCCAACTGTACTTTGATGTTCAAAACTGAGTACAGCAAAGTCAAAATAAAGCACATGAGGGCTTTTCCATTTTTTACTTTAGAATAAATTGTTCTATTAGAAATTATGAAGGCTGTTTGGTTACTTAAATGAGTTCATTTCAAAATCTCAAAGTTATTAAAATCTAACAGAATGCTTAAGGTTAAAAGGGCATCAAAGGAACTGCAGGGAAAAGTGGATTCTCTGTATACCCTAAAAATACTGCGTGAAATCATGAATAATAAACGTAAATAAGCAGATTCTCAGCAGAAAAGTTTGCCTAAATTCTTTAGATGTTAGTCTAACGAGTGAAAGACAAACTCACTTCAGGAAATATTGATTGTCTCAGTAAATGATTTTTCTGACCATCATCCACAGTATAATGTAGACGGACAGCCCTCATGGAAGTTGCATGCTTGATATACAGCAAGAAGAGGGGTATTTCTATTACTGAGAAATATCTCAGACCACCAAGTGAGCAGGCRGAATGAATATCAACAGCCAAGTCAGAGGTTCAAATCCTTGTCCACAATTAGCAGTTGGGAAATTACATAACCACTCTCAGTATCTCTCTGTAAACAGGGATAATGACATGACCTGCTTCTGAGGGTCTGAGAGAAAATGACAAGAATCAAAACAAGTAAAGTGCTTAGAATTGCCCCAGCATAGGATAACTAAGACGTAAATTTTATTAGATAACTACCTTAAAAACTAGCAAACAATACAAATGTTTGCAAGGACAAACATTTGTATTGTTTGCTAAAACTCACACAGAGAGTAATGCAACATTAGAGGACTACAGTACTTGCATGAATTTATAAATACTTCACCTCACTTGTACATACCTTTAAATATTAATAAATAATACTGATACTTCACATTCCATACTGAAAGGTTGGAAACATTTTCCTGAGAAAATGTTGAGAGTTATACACAGTGGATGATGAAGGTYTTAAAGAGAATTCCCCTTTAGGGTAACTAAGTCTCTCCTTACTCGTTTAATTGCAGTGTATTGTATTTTCCTGAGCATCAGTATGTTTGCATGAGTGCAGCCATGATTCTCATCTTCTGTGGGCAGGATGGGTTAGGAAATTAGCTTAGAAGAATCTAYTCTTTCCTTTGTCCATAATTCAGCAGGAAACAATTTGCTCTTTAACAATAGGTTAGRAGATAAACTTATGTCATAGTAAGATATTTTTTATTAGCTAAGTCAACTTTAAATAGACTATTTATTCATACATCTATTCACTCTGCTTGTACACATAAAAACCACTATCAAAAGGTCAAAACTGACAAATTTGAAAGAGTTCTTTTAGCAAAAATCTGGAAACAAGATTCAGATTTTCTCTTTGCTTTTAGGTTTGAGACAGAATTCATCTTCCCTCCAAGAAAGCACCTGGACTCTTCCTCTTCGTTTATTTACCAAGTTTTGAAGAAAGAGTTCCTTCTTCAAGTATATATGTGCATGGTTTTCTGGAATATCATCTTCTGCCAAAGCAAACGTTATATAATAAATCCCATTTAAATACTTGCATTATGCTATTTTAACAGGAATGTGTAGACACCCTATTGAGGAAAGAATGAGATCCACATTGTCCTTCTTAACTGGATCTTTATCCCGAAGTTCATTTCCGTAGTCTAATCAACATCACATAAGGGGAAGTGCCTTCAGTCTTCATTTCACTGGAGAAAAGACCACACCAGTATCAAAGAAGAGCACATGAAACCCTAGTGATCCARTGGCTGCACCACCACCACTCACACCTCCACTCCCACCATGTTGCCAAGTCTGAACTGCATTGATCCAAGARATGGTCATCATGGATCTGTTCTAGTCAACTCTCCCAAGATACAGTAGGATCACATTGTGAAAGCATTTAACTTATGCAGATTCAGCTAGGTTTGACAGGACAAGAGTAAGAGAGTGAAGGGAAGCCAGAGAGTCAGAGCCTGTGTCTGCCTTTCCACTCAGGGGAGATGCGCACCACAGTTAKGTGGAGGTTAGAAAACACAAACCAAGCGTTCCCTCAGAATGTTGAAGTTCTGGGGACTTCTTATAGCTTGAGCTTCTCTCCTCACTATGCAATTCTAGTATTTAAAATGTGCCTGCATGTATATATGCATACACACACATCCCTGAGAATGTACAGACCTAGGTAAATATGTGTGACTTGTTATTTAATAACATGGCTCCTAATCTCAAGCAAACCCATTCTTCTGGTGTTCAACTCAAGAAACATCTATATTTTTTAACGTTTGAAAACAAAACATGGTTTGTTTGTACTTCCTGAAATACTGCATAGAACTTCATAGAACTACATTTGGGGATGATTTAACAGCTCTGTCAAGACTAGATTTTAGGTGTGTGATTTTTTTTTTAAAACTTAMTGGCTACTTTTGTACTTTAATCTATCCCTGAAGTTATAATTCCATTGTATATTGGTGAATCCATGCCAATTACATTATTTCTTGGGGGCGAGTACTGAAAATTGAACCCAGAGTCACTTAACCACTGAGCCACATCCCCAGTCCTTTTTTGTTGTTGTTTAATTTTGAGAYGGAGTCTTGCTAAGTCTTTACAGCCTCACTAAGTTGCTGAGGTTGATCTTGTACTTGCAGTCCTCCTGCCTCAACTCCCAGGTCACTGAGATCAGAGGTGTGCACCACCATGCCTGGCACCAATTGCATTTTTAAAACAGCCAGTGGGTTAGACTTCATTTTGCAAATGGGAGAGCTATTTTAACCCTGGAATTTCTATCAAAAATCACAAGACAAAAGGGATATTCAGTCCAATTTCACCATTTCTATTAGGAAATTTCCTCCACTTGACTTTCCCCACATCACAGGGAAAGTCTTTAAAAAAGTAGATCTTTAACTATTAACTATCTGAAACTAAGAAATTGACCCATAAAACCATTTTCTCTGACACACTCCCTCTGTAGCAGCTAGATTCGAGGCATTAGATACTGGAGTGGCTACAGTATGGTTGCAACCAGTTGTTTCTCCTCTATTTCACTCTAGCTTTATTCCCTTCAAGGGCAAAGCTGTTGAGAGCCTCCATGATACTTAGCCACCCTTGGGAAATGCTATCTGCTTGGAAGAGACCAGCACACCGATCAGCCTCCCTTCCTTTGGAAGGTCATACTTGTCCTCCTGTTCCAAAGCTGTCATCTCTTTCCCTACACTGAAGTGACTAATAATCTCCCTGCTTCTGAAATGTGGGCATCTTGTCTCTTCCTTGAATACCTCTGGGGTTTAATTTCTTCTTTTTTGGAAGTTGCATTGCTAGTGGCCAAAAAGATAAGAATTTGGCACCTGGAGGCCCAAAGATTTTAGAGGACTTGATTCATAATAGTTTCATCTCCAGTCTCTAATTATATCCATCATTAGCAAAGTGAAACATTGTTGCAGGAAGTTTTAAAGGGAGAGATGAATCTGTCTGAATTCCTAGACTGATGCTAATCACAGCGAGTATGATTTTCCACCTCGRGCACTGTGCTGAAGGGTTTCAGAAATGAGATTCTGCCCTAGAGGGACCCGACTGGGAAATTCAAAAGCTGCTCAAACAGGAAGTCTTTAATCACTTTTAAAAAATGAATCATGTAATTACAGGCTATGTTTTCTTTTAAGTGATCATCTCTTAAGAGTTTATGGAAATGAGATTTGAGCCAGATTCACATTCAAATTCAGGCAACAACAACACAAATTAAGCATTTAGACATGACTTAGATGGTTTCAACCATCATTTCCTTGGCTTTCATGGATCATTGTCATTACTGGAGATTATTCATTGCCCTTGAAGGGAATGAAGCTAGAGTGAAATAGAGGAGAAATACTGGAGATTATTCATAGGTAGTTGTTGGAGATACTTATTTTTTAAGCAATGAAAAAAAAAAAATAAGTATACCAGTAGTTAGACCTGCCCTGGTGATATTTGCCATCTATTAATTTGAGAGATGACAGGGAAATTTCAATAAGTATGAACAATTCATGATTAAAATGTCCACTAATGTTATAAAAAATGAACAACAGGGAGTGAAGGACATGGCAGGAGATGATCTGTAATGCTTGGAGAAAATATCAAAGTCGAGATTGGGCTTGTTGGAAGGAAGAAAGCAGGGAGAGGGTACCTAAATGTATTCATTCATTTATTCAGAAAATAATTATATGGGAGGCTTCAAAGATTCAGTGGTGAGCAAGATTAACACAGTTCTGAAGAGGAACCGAGAAACAGAGAGTAAATAAAAGATCATTAAGTATTAGACTGCAGTCTTTCTCCAGGGGGTTGAAAATCAATCATGTTCAACAGCAGTGGTGAAGATGGGGCTGAGGAAAGAAAGACCTTACCTGGTCGACACGGCCTTACATACTTTTGTCCTAGGAGTTTCAGACCAAAGTGCCACCTTGGTTTTTAGTTCTTTATTCTAAAATTGAAAAAAAAAAAAAAGTGCTGAGATCAGATAGTTAACCCACCTATTCGATAAACCCCAATGATTCTGTTCACCCTGCCACACACACCTGCCTCATTTGTTGGCAGTAAGTTTGTTGCAATCATTCTATTAGAACCCAGGAATGAACCATTTGAAGGTCATTAACTTTTATCTCCAAAGATACAAATATGCCCTGAAAAGTGCATAATCTTCTTTTAAGGGATCAAMATACAGTATTCTGACTTAGCTTCGGATTTGCAACAGCTGAATTATCTATGTTTGAATTTACAGATTCTTTTTTTTTTTTTACAACAAACAGATTTTAATACAAAATGAAATTAGAAACCACCAGGAAATGTGCTGTTTATAATAAATAGTATTAAATACCAGCCAGCTTTGCTTGAAACCTCAAGAGGTTTATAGAGCCCAGGCATTATTAGAAGATGGAAGCACATATAAATTAATTTTGTAATATTGGGTCCAAAAAAAATATTATGCCAAAGCTTCAGAATGGTAAATAAGTTCTTATGCAGGTAGGAGGTAGAAGAGTTGAGTTACTCTATACAATCAACATAAAACAAGATCAATAAAGGATGTGGTCATTGCAGCAACCCATGAATAGTGATGTTAAGACATTAAAATGATGTATTATTCAGTGGTAAAATATGTTATATGGTTGTTTTTTTTATTGGTTGTTCACAACATTGCAAAGCTCTTGACATATCATATTTCATACRTTAGATTGAAGTGGGTTATGAACTCCCAATTTTACCCCAAATGCAGATTGCAGAATCACGTCGGTTACACATCCACATTTT